ATAAGTCCGTATAGTGAGGTTTATTTAGAATAAGTAACTGTCTGACTAACAATAAGTGGATTTTAGTGGGTTTTCTAAAAATTGTAGAATCTAGTTAAAGTGTTTTAATTAATTAAGCGCACCAAAATAAAACTAGAAATAGAAATAGAATAGAAATACTATTATACACCATAAAGAGAAATTAGTTCATGTATTACGTAATTTTTAGCTGTATTTTAAGGGTTTAATGGACGGTATTACTGACATCAGCGAATAATTATTCTGCGAAAATGTTTAGTTGTAAACGGAAAAATTTGCGAAATATGATTGAAGATTTGTTATCTAAATTGCTCCTTGCTTGTGGGATGCCGACGGTCTATAGTAAACAGACATGCGGAGAAACGATGATAATTGTTATTATCACACTTGCTAGTGTTTTTTCCTAAACACACATTTTACTGATTTACAAATCAAAGTATGCAAAAGAGAATTCTTTTATGATTGTTGTTCTATTATTTTGAAAAACTAAATAAATAGAAGGTAAGTTGGTATTGTGCACAAAAGAAAAAAGAGAGGACAGTTGATGGGTTCCTAAAAAAGGTAATGGGACCTGTTATGGTTCCTATAAAACTGAAAGGAAATTGCTTGAATTAAACAATTGAAACATTGAAAATTTTGAAATGTTCATTTCCTGTTTTTTTACCATAAGTAATCGAAAAGTGCCGCAAGTTTTATTGATACGTTTGCAATTATATGGCTCTATAAAATTCGTTGCAATTTGATTAGAACAGTTTATGACTTTGGCCTTATGTATTAGGTACAGTACAGGTTTTATAAAATACTGTCATATTCACAATACGCGCCTTGAGAGTTGCCAAATTGGATCGGTGCCAAAATCTTTACACGAAGATAAATCTTAACTGAATTCATAGACATTAAGTATGCGTAAAATTTCACTACTATTGTTGATATAAACTTTTTTAGCGTTAGCTTGCAAATTATTAACAGTTTGTTAATAAATAAAATCATCGTGAATAACGTTTTTACAAATTTCTAATTCAAATATTTATTTTGGGTGCGTAACACCAAGCGAAACTATCGATTATATTTCACTTTACTTGCGCAAACTCTACCCGCATGTGTGAATGGTTTCGTGGGAAGCGATTTTTTTTATCGTTATTTTTTTCTATTCTTGCCGATTGCTTGCTTGTACTATCACAAAAGCAATTAAAGCGTTCGTAAAATTTACTGACGTGTGCGTTGATAAAGATTAATTAAAAGCCCGCAGATAATTACTTTATAGAGCCGCTTTTTAATAATTTATTCATTTATTATTTGAACAAATGCATTATTTATAGAAATAATTTGTATTCAGCTACGCTAGGTGGATGAACTGTGCTTACCAATAATTCCTTCGACTTTGTTAGCTGCTCACTTTTTGATTCGAAATAAATGACGATTGTTAAATTGGAACTTATTTAAAGAAAAAAGTTTCTAGATTCACAGGATAATTGACTCGATATTATTGATTATATGTCGCCCTGATGCTGCCTGTATTAATCCTTCGGTACAAACGTAGTATCCCAAGCATAGGCGAATTTAGTACGTAAGTTAGTAGCTGCTTACATTGAGATTTACAAAAGGATTAACTAACACTTAAACGATAAAACGTAATACAAAAAAAAACATATATTCAAGAAAGTTAAATTTTAAAATGTGAAGCAAGCTTCTTGCCTGCTTCTTACTTGCATTTTTTTTAATTGGATAAAACTGCTGCTAGTTTGAGAACTCTAATAAACAAAATTATTAATTGTACAAATTGCGGTAACTTATTGACAATGGTGGGTAAAGTAAAACGCATTTGTGTTAAAAAGCTTGCAATGTTTATCGACAAGAAAAGGTAGATAACGGACCTACTTGTATTGAACCCAATTTCTACACGTATTTAAGTAGGTACATACTCGAATTTAGTAAAAATATTAGCAACTTTAGGTAGTATATAAATTGTGTGTATATTTACCAATTCACTTTTCATAATTTAATTTTGTTAGACCACTACGTAACACGTAAAAAAATACTAATGATTAGTGCAACTTTTTATCGCAGAAAATTAGACACCCACGTGAAGTTTTTGTATATTTGTACATTATATTTTGTTACATAGGTATTAAGAAACTAAAGTTGTTAAGTATACCATCCTCACATTAAAACAAGCAAGAATATCACTTAGTTTTGATTTTTGTCTTTTGATGAAAAATTTGGGTTAAAGGT